AGGTTGGTCTGGCTCTCGGGGCGGACCTCAGCTTCACGGTGGCCATCTCGGGGGCCCTGCGAGCAAGCAGAGGGTGGTGAGTGGGGTGCCCCTCAGACCCCTGCCCCCCGCCCCCCGATGCTGTGGGACAGCCCAGCAGCTGCCTGGTTCCATTTCGTGGAGGAGCCTCGGGAGGGGATGCGGGTGGGAGGAGAACCGTGGCTCAGGGACCTAAAAGGCAAGGTGTTTTCTGGAGCTTTCTCATTCCTGCGACCCTTCCCTTGAGCTGAGAGTCAACCCTGAGGGAGCCGAACAGGAGCAGGAAGGTTGGGCTGGAGGCCTCAGTGTAGGGGTGGGGACCTTCTCTCTGCCCGGGGCCATCTGGATGTTTATAGCATCCTTTGTGGGCCGTACAGAATGATCCACTTGAACATGCGCCTGCCATATTGGGTCCAGTATTTAATTAACTCATCCTTAATGCCTTGGCAGGGCCAGACCAAAGGATTTCCTGGGCCTTATATGGCTCGTGGAACGGACGTTCCCCACCCCTGCCTTAGTGGCTCATCTTCCTTGGAGTAAGGGGCCTGGAGCGCAGAACAGCGCCCCTTGCTGGCTGTGTCCGCATCGGGAGCTCCCATGAGTGCGGATTTGGCAGCCGGTCCAGGGGCCCTCTGGGAACAGGCTCTGCGAGGTGGGGAGCCGCCACAGCAGAATTGGGGCCTCCTAAGAAGGATGTGGGGGGCCTGGCTGGCTTTGCTCAGGGTTGAGCGTCAACCTGTGAACCGGGAGGTCACAGTTCGATTCCCGGTTAGGGCACAGGCCCGGGTTGTGGACTCGTTCCCCCGTGTGGGGCCGTGCAGGAGGCAGCCAATCAATGATTCTCTCTCATCATTGATGTTTCTTTCTTTCTCCCTTCCTCTCTGAAATCAAAAACACATTAAAAAATAAAATACCAGAATTTCAATCTTAAAGAAAAGAAAGATGTGGGTGAAGTCAGAGGGCTCTCGGGCTCCCATTACGACAGGCACCCCAAGAGCGCGGGGGAGCCCTGGGCAGGTTCCAGCGGAAGGTATTTTACAGCTGGGCTTCCGAGGAGCTGGTCTTGCCTGGTGTCTGAGTAACAGGAAGTCGGTACAGCTCTCCACGCACGGACAGACCCCCAGAACCCCACAGACCCGGCTTCCTGGGGGTTCCGGACGACCGAGGCGTGAGGTGCCCAGGGGGACGGCGAGGGAACACCAACTCACTTGGACAGGACGTCCAGGGCCTGCTGCGTGGCCAGCGTCCGCCTGTCCTGCGGTCCGTACAGGAGGGTCTGAATCTGAAGACACTGCAGAACACCAAGCAGTCACCGTGAGGGTGTGACACGCCACGGGGAGCGTGCAGCGGGCGGACAAGGCTCCCGAGAGTGGGAGAAAGAATGCTGGTCACAGACCCCTGTCTGACCTTTGCCGTGAAGCCAGGGACAGTCTGACCTTCACTGAATGCTAGGGGCAGTCTGACCTTCACTGAATGCTAGGGGCAGTCTGACCTTCACCGTGAATGCTAGGGACAGTCTGACCTTCACCGTGAATGCTAGGGACAGTCTGACCTTCAACTTGGATGTTCTGAGGGATCCTGGAAACAAGTGTACAGCTCTAGCACTGTTTTACAGAACCCTCTGTGACAACCTGTGTGCAAAAATATGTTTAAAAAGTAATATTTTTAAAAATAAAGGCAAGAGAATTATTCAGGAGAGGACGGTGTGCAGTTTCTATTTTTGAATGACCCTTGCTACAGCCCAGACACGTTAAAAAAAAAAAAAAAGTTCTATGCCCTGCCCAGTGTGGCTCAGCTGGTTGGGCGTCGTCCTGTGCACCCAGAAGTGGCAGGTTCGATTCCCAGGTCAGGGCACATGCCCAGGCTGTGGGCTGGATTCCCCATGGGGGTGAGGGGGTGTGCAGGAGGCAGCTGATCCATGTTACACTCTCTCACAGCTATGATTCTCTCTTCTCCTTCCTCTCTCTCTCAAAATCAATAAACTATTGTTTTATTTTCCATGGGCTCTCTGTAATCATTACTAGACAGCAATTTCCTAGGGAGTCATTTACTGAGGAGTTAAAGATTCAGCTTTATTCTGCTTATTATCCTGCCACTTGACTGCTTGTACCTGGCCAGGGAAAACTCAGGGGGAAGATATTCAATTTGTGCCCCCAAATGGGCCAAGTAATTTTGAAGGAGGTGGAAGAAACTGCTTTACCGTCACCATCTTTATAAAACTACTAGAGGCCCGATGCATGAAATTCATGCAAGAGTAGGCCTTCCTTCCCCCGGCTGCCAGCACTGGCTTCCCTCCGGCACCCGGGACCCGGGTTTCCCTTGAAGTCCCGGCTTCATGTGGAAGGTCATCCGGAAGGACGTCTGGTCTAATTAGCATAGTACTCTTTCATTTTTATAGACAGTAATGAAAGCAGTGCGTTCTCATCCAGGGGCAGAAAGGGAGACCAAAGGGACATGGCAGAGAGCCCAACACATGACAGATGACAGGAGAGAAGTGACCCTGAG